ACAGCTGTTGTACGTCCTAAGGATCTATTATGTGAGCTTCAGCCCGTCTCCATAGAAGGAATGACACCAACTATGCCTTCAGATCCTGATACTTTGCTTGACCAGATAGAGTTTGACCGTGATGGACTTACTGAAGATGAGATAGATCAAGGACTTGGAGTTATTCAGCGCTTCAGTAATATATTCTCCAAAAGTGAAGATGATCTTGGTCACTCGTCACTTGTCCGACATAGGATAGACCTCGTAGACGACACACCTTTCAAACAACGGCATCGTCGTATTCCTCCTGGAATGTTTGAAGATGTAAAGCAACACTTGAATGACCTCTTGTCTGCTGGAGTGATAAGGCCCTCACACAGCCCTTGGGCATCAAACATTGTTCTGGTTAAGCGCAAGGATGGTCGTTTACGACTTTGTGTTGATTACCGCCAGTTAAATCAGAGGACAATAAAGGACAGTTATGCATTACCCCGTATAGAAGAGCTTCTTGACAGCCTTGGTGGGATGAAATTTTACTCAGTGCTGGACATGAAAAGTGGATACTACCAGGTGGAGCTTGAGGAAGAACACAAACAGCGCACAGCATTTACTGTAGGCCCACTTGGGTTCTACGAGTATAACCGAATGCCTTTCGGTCTGTCCAATGCTCCCGCCACCTATCAGCGCCTCATGGAGAAGTGTTTGGAAGGTCTGCATCTCCGTATTTGTCTCATCTACCTGGATGACTTAATTATATTCTCCAAGACCTATGAGGAGCATGTAGAACGCCTCAGACTAGTCTTCCAGCGTCTCCAGGAGTGTGGCCTCAAACTTGCTACTAAGAAATGCAAGTTTTTCAAACGGAAGGTCAGGTATGTGGGATATATAGTGTCAGCTGAGGGAATTGAAGCAGACCCAGACAAGATCGACAAGATCAAGAACTGGCCTATTCCCAAGAACCCTGAGGATGTTCGTCGTTTCCTGGGTTTCGCAGGGTATTACAGGAAATTTGTACAGAACTTTTCCAGGATTGCACGTCCTTTGTCGGCCTTGATGCCCTCCACACCACAGAGGAAGAGCAAGTCACGGAAGCATGTATCTCCAATTGACTGGCAGTGGGAAGAAGCACAGCAGGATTCTTTTGACAAGTTGAAGTCCTGTCTGTCAAGTCCTCCAGTTCTAGGATATCCAGACTTTTCTAAGCCCTTCGAGCTCCACACAGATGCCAGTGCTCAGGGATTAGGAGCTGTTATATACCAGGAGCAAGATGGGGTATCTAGAGTTATAGCCTACGCCAGTAGAGGACTCACACGCTCGGAACGGAACTATTCAGCTCACAAATTGGAATTTTTGTGCCTCAAGTGGAGTGTTACCGAAAAGTTCCATGACTACTTATATGGAAACGAGTTTTTAGTCTTTACAGACAACAACCCACTTACGTATGTGTTAACTACTGCAAAGTTAGATGCCACAGGACACAGGTGGTTGGCTGCTTTATCCATGTACAACTTCACCATCAAGTACAGACCTGGAAAGTCTAATGCGGATGCAGATTCCTTGTCAAGATTGCCAGTTTGTGAAGAAGTCAGCAGTGAAGTTGTTCACGCCATCTGTGGGAAAGTGCAGGTGTCCAGCTTGGTCGAGACCATCTGTTTGTCTGTTAATAGCATGTCCCAGGATGATGTTTCTGTTGTTGAGGAACAATGTCGAACCAATGCCAAGGAGTGGAGTAAGACTCAGCATAGAGACCCAGACTTGTTAGACATTATTGATTCTCTTGAATCAGGACAGAGATTGGACCGCAAGATGTACAGAGATAATCCTGTTATGACTGGTCTGCTCAAGAACTACAATCATTACAAGCTTATTGAGGGTGTTCTCCTCAAAGTTACTGTGACAGCAGATGGTACTCAGGAACAGCTAGTTTTGCCTTCAAGATGTAGACTTGCTGCACTCCGTAGTTTGCATGATGACTCGGGACATCCTGGCAGAGACCGCACTTTATCTCTTTTAAGAGAGAGATTCTATTGGCCAGGCATGGCACAGGATGTTCAGAAACACCTAGAGTCTTGTGACAGATGCTTAAAGAGGAAGGCGACCACTGACAAAGCACCACTAGTTAACATCGTGACCACACAGCCCCTAGAGCTGATATGCATGGACTTTTTGACTATCGAGGCATCCAAAGGAGGTCACCAGTATGTGTTAGTGGTCACCGACCACTTTACCAGGTATGCACAGGCCTATTCATGTCGGAATACCTCAGCAAGAACAACAGCTGAACTATTCTTCAACCATTTTGTTGTACATTATGGTCTTCCACAGAGAATACATTCCGACAAGGGTGCCAACTTTGTAGGAAACCTCATGACTGAGTTGTGCCACCTTTTGCACATTGAGAAATCTTCCACTACCCCATACCACCCTATGGGTAATGGGATGTGCGAACGATTTAATAGGACTTTGTGTAACATGCTCGGTACTTTAGATCCTGAAGCAAAGAAAGACTGGAAGACACATGTTGGGCCATTAGTGCACGCCTACAACAGCACAAGGCATGAGTCTACTGGGTACTCGCCTTTTTATCTTATGTTTGGCCGACACCCAAGGCTTCCAGTCGATGTTGCTTTTGGTCTTGACATACAGCCAAGCAAGCCAAGAACAACCTTACAGTATACCAAATCCTTGAAGGAAAGGTTGGACCAGGCCTACAAGTTAGCATCCCAAAAGGCAGATCAATCTCGTAGTCAACAGAAGGATTTCTACGACAAACGTGTGAGAGCTGCAGTTCTGGATGTTGGCGATAGGGTGTTAGTACGAGTTGTGGCTTTTGAAGGACGTCATAAGATTCAGGACAAATGGGAAGGTGACATTTATGTTGTGATCCATCAGCCTAACCCTGATATACCTGTCTACACTGTCAGGAAGGAAAATGGACAAGGACGCACCAGGACCCTGCATAGAAATTTGTTACTTCCTGTGAGTTCTCTTCCACGTCAAGACGTCACACCACCTAAGCCTGCTCCCAGAACTAGTGTTCCTAGACCAACAGTAGTTCCTAGAAGATCAAGGAGAATCCAAGGACAAGACCCAGATTATGATGAAGATGAGGATGATGACTTCATAGTTGTTTCCACTCCATCACAGCCGTCAGTGTCAACTTCTAGAGAAGATGATAGGCCAACTGAGGTTAGAGTAGATGAAGATAGAGCTTCTACTTCAAGTGATCAGGATGTGGAAGAGCCTGCAGATTCTGTTCAGGAACAGGATCAAGAGTCCGATGTGGATCAGGCTGAGGATCAGTCATCAGAATCTGCAACCTCAGACACAGCTTCTGTACCAGAGGATGTCACTCCTGCAGTTCAAGACCAGGATCTAGAACCGATTAGAGGATGTGACAACTCAGTTCCCCAGGTAGCTCCTAGACCAGTACCAGCTCCTAGACGCTCTACCCGAGAACGGAGAAAGCCTCAGTGGATGCAATCTGGAGATTACGTAATGTCTGCTATCACTGATGTTCCAGAGGACTGGAGAAGTCGAGCTGATTATCTACTTTCACTGATAGGTACAGGAGTTGTAAATGACGTCACAGCCAAGAGTATGCTTTTGTCCCTTATTTCCGGTCATGACAAATGATGAGGACATCATTTTGCCGAGGGGAGGAAGTATGTAGTAGGTGTTAATTCTGCAGCTTGTAAATATGTTAGTATTTTTAGTGTAGATAAAGTAACTTGTCTTTTCTATTTCAGCTTGTTGATTCAGCAGAGGGTTGTGTCATTTCCTGGTTTCTATCTATCATTAGTTGTGTCCTTATCAGTATTTGCTACTGATAACTTTCTACTGGGTCAAAGGTCAATGGTCCAGTCTATTTTACTTCCAAGGGTGTTTTGTTCTATTGTTTGCTCGTCATTAGGGTTACCTGTTGTGAGCCAATTAGTATACCTTTCAATTCAAATCCCTTTCTCACCTGCCATTGCTAATCTTATGCTGCACACACCCACCTGCACTGCACAGCAATGGATTGAGGATCAAGTTATCAAGGTTAGTAATCATAATTAATCTGTATCAATCTAAACATTATAATTTCAATCATTAGTATAAATCAAGTAATAAATGATAAAATGTGTTTTAAATAACTTGTAAACATAAACAAACGATAGGTTGAGTGAATGAGGTGAGTGTGATGAGATTAGGGTCTGATTCATGAGTATTGCTTATCTATACATATATTTTATATTTCAATGTATTGGTTATTTGGTATTTTGCGTATTTTGGTATTTGATGCATATTTGCTATTATTTAGTAAATCTGGTGTATTTCTAGACTTTGTACATATCTCTCTAGATGTATGCATGTATTTATTGATAGTTGTATGAATGAATGACTGAAGTTGTATTTCAGTGATGCATGTATATGCCGTGATTATATATGTTATTTACAATATTATAATTAATATTGTATCTGTATTTAGTTTCATGTGACTGTCGAATGAGACGACTGGCAGAAGGCATGTTACACTCTCGTGTCACACACAGGGTATGTTTTGTATATAGTTTATCTATATAATATGTTCATGTTGTGCATTCATTATGCATAATATGATTATGTGATGATTTAATGCTTTCCTCAGTTATGCGTTTAATAATGTGTAATTATATTGTCTTTGTATATGAAGGTACATCTGCACTGATTAGATATCGAGGCAGAAATATATTTGCGTATCTGCTGTAATGATGTAATCAGTTATTAAGAAGCAGATCGATACTTTACATTTAATGTGTTATTGTACATTTATTCTGAAACATGTGATATATTGTGATTTTAAATTGTTTCAGGAGTGTCTTCTATATGCCTTGCTGAATAAACTGAATTTTCTCACAACCCCGTGGACTGTAATCTCTTGCGACTAAGGATTACACATAAGGTCTACAACAGTTGTACATTAGGAGCTGCAAGGTATTGGTGTTTGCACATGAGTTGTACATTACAGCAAACCCATTAGTGATTTGCCTGCCACTCACCTCTTCTGCTGACGGGGAGTGGAACACGTGGCACACAAACCTCTTGGCCAAGTTACAGGTGGTCTCTCTGGAACACACCAAGCATACATGATCAAGCTGGCATCAGTGAAAAGCGTCAGAAGCAGACAACAGTTGAATTTACCCATGATAAATTGTTTGTTTATAAAAACATCCAAGATTCGTAAATCGTACTTTATCTTGTATCTTCTTTGACAGAGTAAAGCCATGCTATGCTCATCCCGCTAAATGCTACTCACCCTGCTATGTAACCAAAGTGCTGTAAGTAGTCTGTCCTCCGGCCGCACGCCGACACCTCTGTGTACGAGTGGTTGAGTAGTGCCTTCAAACATGATACAAACACAAGAATCAACATGACCTCATATCTATGATACAAACACACCAATCAACATGACCTCACATCAATGATACAAATGTGACAATCGACATGACCTCACATCAATGATACAAACGCGACAATCAACATGACCTCACACCAATGATACAAACGCGACAATCAACATGACCTCACATCAATGATACAAACACACCAATCAACATGACCTCACACCAATGATACAAACGCGACAATCAACATGACCTCACATCAATGATACAAACACGACAATCAACATGACATCACAACAATGATACAAACACACCAATCAACATGACCTCACATCTATGATACAAACACACCAATCAACATGACCTCACATCAATGATACAAACGCGACAATCAACATGACCTCACATCAATGATACAAACGCGACAATCAACATGACCTCACAACAATGATACAAACACACCAATCAACATGACCTCACACCAATGATACAAACGCGACAATCAACATGACCTCACATCAATGATACAAACACGACAATCAACATGACATCACAACAATGATACAAACACACCAATCAACATGACCTCACATCTATGATACAAACACACCAATCAACATGACCTCACATCAATGATACAAACGCGACAATCAACATGACCTCACACCAATGATACAAACGTGACAATCAACATGACGTCACATCAATGATACAAACACACCAATCAACATGACCTCACATCTATGATACAAACGCGACAATCAACATGACCTCACATCAATGATACAAACACACCAATCAACATGACCTCACATCTATGATACAAACACACCAATCAACATGACCTCACATGAATGATACAAACGCGACAATCAACATGACCTCGCATCTATGATACAAACACACCAATCAACATGACCTCACATGAATGATACAAACGCGACAATCAACGTGACCTCGCATCTATGATACAAACACACCAATCAACATGACCTCACATCTACGATACAAACATGACAATCAACCTGACCTCACATCAATGATACAAACGTGACAATCAACCTGACCTCACATCAATGATACAAACGTGACAATCAATATACTATACTATTGCAAGCCATCACTATTTTGATCAATCGTTTCCCCCAACAGATATCCTCAGGACACTACTATAGGCAGTATCACTATTGCAAGGTATCAATGGCTTGATCAGTCTTTACACCCTACTGAAAATCATCCGCCCATTTGACACCAGCAGCCCAGAAGTATACATGCCACGACCTACCTTCCCAGTCTCTGTGTCCGTCACAACGATGCCGGTCTCTGACGTCTCCACTGTCACTCCCTGGCAACAGCAGGAACAACATGTCATCACTTGGCAGACCTGACCATTATCGAGCCCTTGCAATCAGTTCAACACAGAGCAGGTATATTGGCTTGTGTGTGAGTGTCACATTAGTCCCAGCTAGGGCTTGATAACCTTACCAGGATTGTTCCTACGCCCCCTCCATCAACTCCACCCCCACATTATTCCTCCTAGGGTTTGATCACCTTACCAGAACTGTTTCCCCAAGCCTGTCCACCATCCTCACTCACTCCCCCTCACTAGTTCCCTGGGACTTGATCACCAATCCACACCCAGTTCCTCTAAACACCCCCAATCTTCCTCACGCTCTCCATCTCCTCCATCCCCACACTAGTTCCCCTTCCCCTCCCCTCCCACCCCAACAGTAGCCCCTCCTGGGGCTCCATCACCATACCAGAACGGTTTCCCCAAGCCTGTCCACCATGCTCACTCACTCCTTAACACCCCCAATCTTCCTCATGCTCTCCATCACCTCCATCCCCACACTAGTTCCCCTTCCCCTCCCCTCCCACCCCAACAGTAGCCCCTCCTGGGGCTCCATCACCATACCAGAACTGTTGCCACCAACCTGTCCACCACCATCAGACACCCCCCACACAAATTGTCCAACATAGCTTCAATACTCTGGCAGTCCAATCTTCCATTACTGGAAATGAGTTTCAGAAACTTTTGTAACTAGAAATAATGTTTCTTAATTTCTTGATGAATGTTGACTTAAATTTGTTCACTGAAAACAAACTTGTGGGCACCGACCTTTGGGTTCTTCCTGGAGGAGTTGATGATGTTGACAACTGCATCCTCTATTCTGTCAACTCTGCCATCCTGCAGTCAGAGAAAACACACTGTTAGTTACTCACTCATCATACAGCTCGTCACTCACTCATCACACAGCTCGTCACTCACACATCGTACAGCTTGTCCCTCACTCATCGTACAGCTTGTCACTCACTCATCACACAGCTCGTCACTCATCACACAACTCATCACTCACTCATCACACAGCTCGTCACTCACTCATCACACAGCTCGTCACTCATCACACAACTCATCACTCACTCATCACACAGCTCGTCACTCACTCATCACACAGCTCATCACTCACTCATCACACAGCTCGTCACACACTTATCACACAGCGCATCACTCACTCATGATACAGCTATCACTCGCTCATGTAAGGTGTATGTCAGTATCACAGCATGTCAGCCTACATTGTTTGATAGGCATTCCTTATGCATTATCTTGTTTAACAACAGTATAATAATCTATACCAACCTGTCACAATTACAGCATATTACAGCATTGTCTTATACATTTCCACTTTGTTGAAACCCCTGGGTTTGGTTCTGACAAGTAGTAAACCTAGAAACTCATGAGGGAAAATCCCTGATCATACATTTGTGGCTCACCTTTAGAAGGGACATAACGCTGCACAGTGAGTGAGTGAGTGAGTGAGTGAGTGAGTGAGTTGGGCTTTATGCTGCTTTTAGCAATATTCCAGCTATATCATCGTGGGGGATTGACCATGGGTTTGGAATCTGTTTCAGCAGGTAATCGAGACTGATTATTCTGTGGTAGTGATGTTTTTCTGTGTTTTGTTTGGGGCATATGATGTGTATGTTCAGTTCTTCTGTGCATGAAGTGAGGCAGGTAGTGTGGTTGCTGAAACAAGCCTGTTGAATGAACTGACAAATGTTTTGTACATAAGGAGAATGGTTTAATCTAGAACAGCTGACTTCACCCTCAAAGACATAACAACATTAAGAAATTAGCATAATGAAAAATAGCATAATGACGACTTACGGTTCCCAGGAATACCTCCCCCAGGTAGGTGACGGTGTACACAGCCCTGAAATAAGGACACAACACATGTAGTAGTTGCAGAATTATATCTATATAATTATGCAAAACAATATGTAACATGTACCGAAAGGCTTGCATCAGGCCTGTCTGTTCTTATTTCAGAATAAGTGCATTTGTTTACAAGAAAAAGTCTGGTCACATGATAAGCCTACACCCACAGTGTGGTCACTGGAGCAGAAACTTCTCTCATGGAATAAGGCGATCAGAGTCAATTCAGCTTGGGGGTTATCAGCTATTGTTTGCAAACAATGCTGTAGAATGGTCAACATACTGGTCCTTTAAGTTTAAGCTTCATGGGGATTATGCTTTTAGAGATGTCATATACACATCAAACCTAGACAAACAATAGGTTCATATATCACAAAAAAGTATTAAATTTGTTATTACATTAAAATGAATACTTAATACTTATCCTGTCTAACACATTGCATTTTGTCTCTTTCCCTCCCTCCCCCTCAAAAAGATGAAACTTTGCAAACACAACTGTCTGCAACACGTTGCAACACATTTCACTTTTAATCAGCAACTGCCTGATCGGCATACAAAGTTTCGTGAATAAATATTTAAAGGTTCATGTGTTATGTTCTGGAAACATGGAGGCTGTTTATAGATCTAAACTTTGGGTGGGGGAAAACAATGCAATGACAAGGCAAACATGCAATAATTTCCTTGGTATGTTATTCTCCTTCACTGGCATTGTCTCAGGAGAAGTCTACAACAGACAGGGGATGGTCTCACCTGCCATCCGGTCCGTGCACTGGTATCTCATCCTTCTCATCCTCTGGGAGGAGAGCATGGGCTGGCATCCGATGGTCACTGTTGTCGCTGTTCTGTTGCTGCTGCTGTCGTTGCCGTCTCAGTGTTTCATTTAGGATAGCTTGTGGATCCATGTCAAGCTGACGAAGCAGCTTTGTAATTGGACGAAATATCTGACCATGGGCATCCACACTCTGGCAAGAAATCAAATGTTTACATTCATTATTGCCATCGTGTGTTCTGGAGAGTCAATGGGGTTCTACATGTGTGAAGCCTGGGGAACAGGATGCAGGAGTATCAGGCAACATTTCTCAGTAATTATATGTGGACTGACGATCTCCATCTAGGAGTGGCTGTGTCTTACCTTGACAAATCCTGCATATACTGGCAGTCCTCGGTACTGATGAAACAGGTCTTGTACCTGCAGGAAACAAGCGTTGTATCCAATATTATATAATAAACAGATGGCAAACACATCATCTGTAGATTTACCTTCCCACTCAAAATAGATTTTTGACTGAACATTGATGAATCATTCACTTTAATTACAATAGTTGACAGGATATGGGAAGCTGATAGAGAGGTAACACTTACCTTGCCCCGTTTGACCCCGCGCAGGCTCTCTCCAAACATGTCATCCATCACATCCCCCGGGGAAACCTTGCCCTGGACACAAACAAGCATCACATAGGGTTTCGCTTTGTAGTCAGCACTATTACAAGTTACAGGTGTCACTAGCAGGGTGTACTACGAGTTACAGGTGTCACCAGCAGGGTGTTCAATGAGTTACAGGTGTAAATAGCAGGGTATACTATGAGTTACAGGTGTCACTAGCAGGGTGTACATTGAGTTACAGGTGTCACTAGCAGGGTGTACAATGAGTTACAGGTGTAAATAGCAGGGTATACTATGAGTTACAGGTGTCACTAGCAGGGTGTACTATGAGTTACAGGTGTAAATAGCAGGGTGTACTATGAGTTACAGGTTTTACTAGCCGGATGTACTATTTTTTAGATTAAGCTCTTCTAGAGCAATTTAGTTTGTATACCATGCCTACAGGAGGTGAACGACAACAATAGGTGCAAGTTCAGTGTCAGAGTGTTTTGCACTCATGCATATCACTTGGTATATAGGCCAGTGGCCAAGAACATAACAAACTGCCTGACTTCACAGCAAGATTTAAGCACAGGTAATGATAAAGACCATCACAATCTGACAACCTCAACACAGATAAAGTTTATCAAGATATATTGTTTGTTGCATAAACTTTATGCTAATCCTTTTCTTAGGATAAACATGTTGCTGTGACGACTTACATCTTCTCCAGCAACTCCCTCTGCTTCCACATCCACCACAAGTAGGTAGCTGTTTACCTCCCTAATAAACACAACACATTGCTATTACTTTCACCTCCCTAAATAAACACAACACTTCGCAATTACTTGAACCTCCCATCAATAAATACAACACTTCACTGTTACTTCCTCCTCCCAATATAAACACAAAACTTTGCTATTACTTTTACCTCCCCAAATAAACACAACACTTCACTATTACTTTAACCTCCTTAAATAAACACAACACTTCACTATTACTTTAACCACCTTAAATAAACACAACACTTCACTATTACTTTTTAACCTCTCTTAATAAACACAACACTTCAATATTACATCCAACCTCCCTATATAAACACAACACTACACTATTACTTGAACCTCCCTCAATAAACACAACACTTCAGTATTCCATAGTTTCTATCATTTTCGCGCCTACACTGTCAAGGGGGTCTAAACGAGGCTTGTTAGGAACCAGTTCAAAAGTTCTGTTGGATAAAAAACATAATTCCTTGAATTATGAGATATAATCCCCACACCACCCCACCCCTCCAAAAACACTTCACTTTGAACATGCTGAACTCCTGAGTTTAGTCAATTGAAGTTTATTTATTAGGTGTTGAAAATCATTTTCTGGATTTTTATAGGTCATATCTGCCATTCTATATTATGCACTGCACTGGAAGGACTAGTGAGTGAGTGAGTGAGTGAGTGAGTTGGGGTTAACGCTGCTTTTAACAGTATTCCAGTCATATCACGGCATGTCAGCTTAATGTGGGAGGAAAGCCCTAAGTGATGCGGGTCTTAGAAGTTTACCACTTCGGTGAAACCCACGAGCACGGGTATGGTGCTGAGAAACCTAGAAATATAATCGGGGCGAACCGGGGTTTCGAACCCACAATCATAGGTTCCTGGCGTGTCAAAGGGACGTAACTCTGCACAGCGAATTGCGGCGCCTTAGACGACTGGGCCACCTGTGCCCCCTCTGGAAGGACTAACCACTAGTGCCAGCACCCACAAAACTCTACCAGGTGTATTTAATGACAACTCCTAACAACATTATAATAAAAATATGGTCAATGAAATAGAATTGATGTTTTTATTTTGTGTAGACTCTATAAAACAGAGATTTAAGTTGATTTTGTTGGATGAAAAACTTGCAAGGCAATTAACCTCTCCACACCTCTAAACTTAAGGAATTAAGATTTTTTTGCGACATCAAGCTTTTGAACTGGTCCCTAACAGTGACCTAGGTCAGTGCATCATCATCAACAATTCTGAAATCATGTTTCTAGTTCTGTCCAGGATTTCCAGGTTCCATGCCAAGTTTGAAGGGAGTGATGTAAACAGTGAACTGTACAAACACCACCACCCTCCAGGGGACAGCATCACCATGGCATAGCTAAGGATAATCTGACAAGACGTTACTCACTGGAAATGGATTCCGAGGACATCACACGGGACAAACTCATACTCCCTGTACACCTACAACAGAGAGAATCAGTAAAGTATGGGAGTAATTTCTGACCCACCCACAACACAGAGCATCTTTAAAGTATGGGAGTAATAACTGACCCACCCACAACACAGAGCATCCTTAAAGTATTGGAGTAATTACTGACCCAGCCACATACAGAGCATCCATAAAGTATGGGAGTAATTTCTGACCAACCCACAACACAGAGCATCCATAAAGTATGGGAGAAATTACTGACCCACCCACAACACAGAGCATCCATAAAGTATGGGAGTAATTACTGACCCACCCACAACACAGAGCATCCATAAAGTATGGGAGTAATTTCTGACCAACCCACAACACAGAGCATCCATAAAGTATGGGAGAAATTACTGACCCACCCACAACACAGAGCATCCATAAAGTATGGGAGTAATTACTGACCCACCCACATACAGAGCATCCATGAAGTGCAGGAGTAATTACTGACCCACCCACAACACAGAGCATCCATAAAGTATGGGAGTAATTACTGACCCACCCACAACACAGAGCATCCATAAAGTATGGGAGTAATTACTGACCCACCCACAACACAGAGCATCCATAAAGTATGGGAGTAATTACTGACCCACCCACAACACAGGGCATCCATAAAGTATGGGAGTAACTACTGACCCACCCACAACACAGAGCATCCATAAAGTATGGGAGTAATTACTGACCCACCCACAACACAGAGCCTCCATAAAGTATGGGAGTAACTACTGACACACCCACAACAGAGCATCCATAAAGTATGGGAGTAATTACTGAACCACCCACAACACAGAGCCTCCATAAAGTATGGGAGTAATTACTGACACACCCACAACACAGAGCATCCTTAAAGTATGGGAGTAACTACTGACCCATCAACAACACAGAGCATCCTTAAAGTATGGGAGTAATTACTGACCCACCCACAACAGAGCATCCTTAAAGTATGGGAGTAATTACTGACCCACCCACAACACAGAGAATCCTTAAAGTATGGGAGTAACTACTGACCCATCCACAACACAGAGCATCCTTAAAGTATGGGAGTAATTACTGACCCACCCACAACAGAGCATCCTTAAAGTATGGGAGTAATTACTGACCCACCCACAACACAGAGAATCCTTAAAGTATGGGAGTAACTACTGACCCATCCACAACACAGAGCATCCTTAAAGTATGGGAGTAATTACTGACCCACCCACAACACAGAGCATCCTTAAAGTATGGGAGTAATTACTGACCCATCCACAACACAGAGCATCCTTAAAGTATGGGAGTAATTACTGACCCACCCACATACAGAGCATCCATAAAGTATGGGAGTAATTACTGACCCACCCACAACACAGAGCATCCATAAAGTATTGGAGTAACTACTGACCCACCCACATACAAAGCATCCATAAAGTATGGGAGTAATTACTGACCCACCCACATACAGAGCATCCATAAAGTGCAGGAGTAATTACTGACCCACCCACAACACAGAGCATCCTTAAAGTATGGGAGTAATTACTGACCCACCCACAACACAGAGCATCCATAAAGTATGGGAGTAATTACTGACCCACCCACAACACAGAGCATCCATAAAGTATGGGAGTAATTACTGACCCACCCACAACAGAGAGAATCCATAAAGTATGGGAGTAATTACTGACCCACCCACATACAGAGCATCCATAAAGTATGGGAGTAATTACTGACCAGCCCACAACACAGAGCATCCATAAAGTATGGGAGTAATTACTGACCCACCCACATACAGAGCCTCCATAAAGTATGGGAGTAATAACTGACCCACCCACAACACAGAGCATCCTTAAAGTATGGGAGTAATTACTGACCCACCCACAACACAGAGCCTCCATAAAGTATGGGAGTAATTACTGACCCACCCACATACAGAGCCTCCATAAAGTATGGGAGTAATTACTGACCCACCCACATACAGAGCATCCATAAAGTATGGGAGTAATTACTGACCCACCCACAACACAGAGCATCCTTAAAGTGCAGGAGTAATTACTGACCCACCCACATACAGAGCATCCATAAAGTATGGGAGTCAGTTGTTCTTCACATGACTGAACTTCCAACCCATGTGATGAGCACACTAACATTCCTACTTTCAGTGGCAAACTGTTACAAGAGGAAGACTTACTGGCATTTCCCAGCTGATGTCCAGAAAACTTGCATTCTGAAAATAGATAATTACACTTAAAAACATTAAAAAGATTGATTTGGTAAAATCAACGTACCAAAGCAAACAAAGTAATTTTAAATGAAAATGAAAAACAAACTGTTAGGTATTGTAACTCGGGATCACATGGTACCCAAACTGTGGTAGGTGAGGGAACAGTATTTCAGTTACATCACAGCATGTCAGCCTAATGTGGGAGTATTTCAGTATCATATACAGGGATTATCCTGCAAATGTTTCCTATTAGAGAAAATCTCCCCTGGTCCAAAAGCAATGAAATATTTTGGCATGTGATGAGATTTTGCTAATTATCAGAGATATTTTGCATTCAAACAGTGGAAACTGTATTTGATTTTCAGTATTTGTGACTCGAATTAGGTTGCAATTAATGATACTAGATTATGTACATTTACCCTCACATTTCCTATTTTGGAACATGAATTTTTCTATTTCAAATATTAAAAAATATGTGATTGTTACAGTATTGTCAAATGAAATATAATACCAATTACATTATTATTTATGTATTTCTGTTCATGTCAACTTAAGGAGGTATTATGAGCGAGTTCAATTACAGACCGTTTAGCAGACATGTTCACCACGATCAGAGTTGTTTATTTCATTGGCATGCTAGAGATAACAATCTGCAGTTATCAAATTTCTTGGTCTTCGACAATGTGTGTTTAGATCATAATTTAATATATTCTAAGTGACGACCTGAAATAGCAACTGTTGTAAATGGTATAACAGTTTGTTGGCAAAAAACATATCATTTACATTCAGGAATGAGATGAAACATGCTGCTTTTGTCAATTTCTCTGTCTTATTACCATCTGTAGTGTATAACCGTATCGAAAATCTTCCACCAGTGCTGTCTTATCAACAGGCAAAGTGAAAATCATCTAAAATATGATTGTTTGTGATCTGAAGCTTATATATTATTATGCAGAAAAGAGCTGTAGGTATATCTATTTAGTTTTGTTTTGTTGTCATTCCAAAATCAAAATTTGCCTGTGTTTTGAATTTTCCACCCATGATTGTATTTTTCTCTTGATTTTTTCTCAGATTTAGGTGACAAAATTTTTTTCATAACATTGTTGTAGATCACTGTTTCAAACGTAATAAAATGTTTGTGTGCTTCCAAAGTCTTTATGTTGTAAAAACACTCGTTTTGCAATCGGAGATCAACAATGTTGCACAATCCACCATTATCAGCTCATGCAAATCTCCATGCAGCGATATATTAATGGTTAAGCACAGTAAGAGTTTGCATGCAGTGTTGTGAGTATGCAACTCGCTGTTTCAATTGAAAACTTTTGACAATTGTAAATGCTATCGTGAAAGTTTAGATTTAGATTTTTAGGTATGGTAGATAATTTTATCCAAGCAATACAATATTTTCCATTTTTGAAGGAGAAGAGGAGAGAGCCAGTTGATGCAGTTGAACTATTGAAAGTGTAACAGTTTGATGTACGCGATTCTTAAGTCAATCCCTGTATATATATATCAAAGCCTGTCAGCTTAATGTGGCAAAAATGCCTGCAGTGACATCACTACAGCGAAATCGATTAGCATGGTGTTGTCTTACTGACAGAGGATCATAATCAGGCAATATTTGAGTTGAACCAATGACAAGCATATCCTGGCAAAACAAAGGGACACAACACTGCACAGAAAACTGTGTCACTGTTACCGATTGGGCAACCTGTGCCCTCAACACCTTTTACATACACTACATGAATGGATTAATGGAAAAAGTTATCTATTCTTGTCTGAAATGATTTCTGAATCAGGGTCAAATATTCCAACCTTCAGTAGAAGCCGGAAGGTCATGCCTTTCACTTCTTTCAAAAGTGACATCAGAATTTCTGTAAAACAGAAAAAAGCAACAAATTTGATTCAGAGATGAATGATGAAACTTACTTTATTGAAACCTAAATGTCACTATTGGGTCACAGTGACAACTTTATTGAAATCTACATGTCAGTATTGGGTCACAGTGACAACTTTATTGAAATCTACATGTCAGTATTGGGTCACAGTGACAACTTTATTGAAATCTACATGTCAGTATTGGGTCACAGTGACAACTTTATTGAAATCTACATGTCAGTATTGGGTCACAGTGACAACTTTATTGAAATCTACATGTCAGTATTGGGTCACAGTGACAACTTTATTGAAACCTACATGTCACTATTGGGGCACAGTGACAACTTTATTGAAACCTACATGTCACTATTGGGGCACAGTGACAACTTTATTGAAACCTACATGTCACTATTGGGGCACAGTGACAACTTTATTGAAACCTACATGTCACTATTGGGGCACAGTGACAACTTTATTGAAACCTAAATGTCACTATTGGGGCACAGTGACAACTTTATTGAAACCTAAATGTCACTACTGGGGCATGGTGACAACTTTATTGAAACCTAAATGTCACTATTGGGGCACAGTGACAACTTTATTGAAACCTACATGTCACTATTGGGGCATGGTGACAGCTTTATTGAAACCTACATGTCGCTATTGGAGCATGGTGACAGCCTGATTGAAACCTACAAATGTCTGTCCTGACCAGCTGAGATGCACATGAGTACACCTGCAACATACCTGCAAGTATTTCGTTTCCCAGGATGGATCTGTGAGGGTCATACCACATCTGTCAATAACAAAACCACATGTCAGACATATTCTGTAGACAGTAGGTGATATGTAATCTTTTTGACATGCAACAGGATGTTTTAGGGTGCCCCCAACTTGTAAGACATCAGTTACATCCAGATCAGCCTATTATAGTCTGTATCACCTGGTATCATTTGTTACTATTTGCACAATACTTCAGTCATGCTTCGTAGACCCAAACCAAGGCATCTGTGGATGTCAAGTCCTCACAGTGACATGCACCCTGTCCAAAGTAGTTTTAATATATTGTTATTTCAACTGTAAATTATGATCGGCTAACAAGACAGCGCTTATTTTAATAACACTCCCTACATAGAAATCAGGTAACAAAGATAGTCAAGGTGTATACATAATATTTACACAAAAAATACCTTGGTGGTCAGGTATAACGCATGATCAGCTGTGTCTGGTTTTGATAGTCATAATGATGGGATTAGACGTAATGTGATGTACTACATAATATATTATATGTAAGGGTTTGGTGTATTATTTAAGTTTAAATCTACCAGAATCAGCGATGAAAGTATGGACAGACAGAAGAATTTCTTGATAGGCCTTAACATCTGTAAAGCACTGTATGAATATCATATCCTTTTATGTAATATAATAAATTACTTCCAAAATTATCATAATTGCAACAAACAAAGAAGTAACGAGTCTGCATAGTGGTGACCACAAGGACAACCTGGGCTGTCAGTTATGAATCTGTCAAATCTATGTCCGTGTATGTCCCTGTCTCTGTGCCATATAACATACTCCCGGGTGTTCTCACAACGTAAAGGAACAATCATGCCATCTGAATAGTGACAGCGTCGTCAGTGCAACAGAAACACCTCCACGGCGTTATGCTCAACAGTGGGTGTGTGGCTTTGGGGTCTCAGTCTCTAGTTATCTATCAAATTTAACCAGTTTTAAATCTGAAGTTTTTCCTAATCAATTGTGGTCACAAGTTTTAATTGTTTTAAGTCCATTGATATTTGTTGAAAATATCATTCAGAAAGTATTCTCAGGCCACTTTGATGGTGTAAATGTAGAATCCAGTCATACGCCAGCCTGCCTAATCTGTTTAAAAAACACATTACTCCAAACTCCCTTGTCAACTACAACACTTGCATCTATAGTTAAAAAAAATCACAGACTGACACTGAGTTACCATTTCACCATGCCGCTTTCTACTTATCAAACATAACACATGCAAAAGTAGCTTTGATAATTGGTAATCTTTAACATGGCGTCGCAAAACTTTCCAGATGCAGTTAAGGCTATCGTTAGCTACTTGCAGGAATATCATGGCACAGAACCTTCCCTATTTACAGTATATAGACATGCTACACTGTAAGTATTATGACATTTTTCAGATGATGGCCTCCAGGTTATAACAATCAGAGACATTTCACTTGTCTGGGGGACATGTATCATCAAAGGTTAGGCTATAACTCTAGGTTGGATGTGGTGATTGTCTCACATGGGATGTAATATACACATGGCCACTAGGATCTCAATACAGTGTACTGTTAACCTTACAGAACATGGTTATGATGAGCAGCCATCGTGTAGGGCATCTCTGCATCTGGTTAAGGAGTTCCTTAGATGTTTTCACAACATTGTCAGAACGGCCAAAGTGCAGATGATGGCACCTAAAGAAACTGACAATCATTATCAACTACACAAAATTTCAGTATACCTTCTGTCACATTCTAAACAAAGTTTATTTTATTTTCAATTTTAAGAAAATTAATTGTAATTGTTTTTTCTTGTGTTTAATAATCATGAGATTCACAACTTTCATGTTGATTGTAAAAAATCTACAATGTGCAGTAGCAAATGGCCTAGTTAAGCTTCCATTTGTAGGATCTTGGCTTCCAAACTGGTGATTCAGTTCACAACATGTCGATACCTCAGTGGTTTTAAATGCAATAATATAAAGAAAATCTGCTGTCATTATTCTCCCTAAAACACAAACAGTTGATAATAATAATAATCCACTTGTCATGCGCTAATCCATCTACTAAGTAGTGGCACACAGCGCAAAATGAGAGTTTATTTACAGTACATTATTTTGAAGAGATTTGTTTTGAGATTTGATTTGAAGGCTTGGAAAGAAGAAGATAGGTTACCACGCAAGTGTTTGGTGATGTTGAATATTGTGTGGCAGGAATAAAACATTGTTATTGTATTTAGCCTCTTTATCACATAAAGTTCTTAAAATCATCAAGCACTCTCACAAACGGTATCTACACATTGCAAGTTTTCATGGTCACACAGTCAGTGGTTAGTCAGTCGCACAGTGACAATAGTCGATGTAGTTCCCATTGAAACTAGTGGCGTAATTTCCATATGAACAAAATGACAATTGACTACTGATAACATTTCACCTTTGTCACTGATCACTGATAACTTTTTGTATCAGGATTACAAAATGCAGTCAGATATCCCACACAGCAACAGAATGTAGCAAGGTAAAATTTCTAACACATTTCGGCCAAATCCAACTGTTAACTCCAGAAGGCAAAAACCGTAGAGGTCTACAGGCAAAGGTATATCATGACTATCTTCGCTAAATTTCTTCACAATTTATATCTCCAAAATTGCCTTCACTTGTGAAAGGCCTCAGTTATGGTCCTTTTAAACACCAATATTCGGTCTTACACTGTTATTTTGATAATGATAACAATTACAGCCAAGCAATTTTTCAAGGTCCCTGATCGTTAATTCCAATTCCATCGAAACCAGACAAGGATGATAAGGTAAAGACAAGTAAATCATTTGCGTATAAACACTAACCTGCAACAACTGCCTGTCACGGCAGATGTGATGTACGATACCATCAAGTTTCTTTTTGACCAGACCCGCTCTGATGAACAAGCGTCCTTTCCCCTCGACTGTCTTGACCTGTAACAAACAAACCAGCATTCTACAACGTGAGCAAAACATTAAAACAATATGTACCTGAAACTATTCCACACAGTTATGAATTACATAATTACCTGGTACACTGTTGCTACTCTAGCACTATTACTTCGTGGTAGGTCACAGACTTAAAACACTTCAAGTCCATGGGCATCTTTCAGGTTCGGAAGACATAATTCCAAGACAGCACCATTTTGAAACAGACAGTCCTATGGATTATCTTTGTTTGTTTGTTGTTTAACACCACAGTTAGCAATATTCCAGCTATATGACGGCGGTCTGTAAATAATTGAGTCTGGACCAGACAATCCAGTGATTGATATCATGATCATCGATCCAGGCAATTGGGATCGATGACAAGCATAGTTGCCTTCTACGTCAAGCATGGGTTGCTGAAGACCTATTCCACCCCGGATCTTCACAGGAACCTTTGGCCTATTACATGAAGTTCAAGTTATAAGCACTTCCAGATTAATGAATCACTTCTGGTTGCTGTTCAACTGCAATTACAAGTGTTTCAGTGTATGAATGTCCTTTGCATTTGACATGACCTAGAAGAAAGTGCTTATGTTTTATTAATCAATCAAAAATGTTTTGTATTATGACTTAAAATCAAATATTTCATGACAATGTGGTTTCTGGTGACCTTAACTTTCATCAGACGTGACCAAGAATCTTATCAAAATAAGTCCTTACTCAAGAGATCATATATTTAAATTTTGAAAAATTCCAATCATAAATGCTCAATAAATTGTGTATATAAATAACATTGGACACATTAAGTGACTTAAATGACTTCCAGACACATGTTTACATAACTTGTTGATTCTGATCAACTGGTGAATAGTGTACAGGTTCCAAGGTTTACTGTTAGCATGGGTGAAATAGCATTATATTTACCAGCTTATAGATGACAACACCTGATCTGGGCCCACTTGCACAAAGCGATCTTAGCGCTAAGATGATCATAACTCCCATACTTTAACATAGGCTTACAATAGTCTTAGCGCTAAGATCGCTTTGTGCAAGTGGGCCCAGATGTGCAAATGAAACATGAAAAGTTAACCTGAATATGCAATCATCAATTACATGATACATCTGTCCCAAACGTCAGTCCTGAAGCCCCGGTGCAGGAAGTCTGGATTAGGCTGATTAAACTTGATGTAAAATCATGAATGTGGGAAACTTGGATGCAAAAATTTTGAACATCCGAGGTTGAGACTGATCCCACTGTTTGTGAAATCAAAAACAAGCAAGAACCCAGGCCTTGTTATGAGATATTTACCTTCTGGCAGTTGCGGACATAGTCGATCACTTGTTCAAGTACTGGGTTGGCGCTGGAAGGAACACACAAGCAGCTTCATATGAAGTCATAAAAATATATCTCATTACTTATAAGAATCTCATTACTTCATCTAAGTAAAATCTAAATATGTTTTACATTTGTATACTTATCCTGCATTACTTCTTAATGCATTCACTGCTTTCTTTTCACAGAAAAATGAAGCTGTGTGATGTCCAGCTGAAGGAAAAGTTGTTCAAACCAGTAGTGAGGCTGACCCCCTCAAACAGAGCCCATGTGACTACGGAAATGATGACATTACAATTTTCACATTACCACTTGAATCTTAACAAATGAAGACATCTTGGGCAGGCAACTCTGAGACAGGCGAGCATTTAGACATAGTAATGCAGAATAAGTATACAAATGTAAAAAAATATTTAGATTTTACAAAAATGGTTAACTTATTCTGAATTACTCCAATATGCATCTGTCCAGAGAAAGGATGAAACTATGAAGACGTCCAGCTAAAATTTAGCAATAGAAAATAACATGCTCTAGAGTCTAAAAACTGATTTCCCGAGCCAATGCTGGCAGCATTGAGACAGTCCTATCGGGTGTGCAAACACTGCGCTAGTCAGGTAAAGCCGGCTCTGGACAGCTGGAGATGTTCTTGGTGTCCAGGATTGCTGACCTGCTGGACGATGACCAGAGGGCCCAAACTGTGTACATCTTCGACGTCTTCCAAGGCCACGTCCCTCAGGTAGCTTGCAAAGACCATGTCAGATCTCAAAAAGCATCCATGATGGCTCTTATGGAGAAAGAGCCATCGTAGAGGCGGCCCTCAGGATCTCATGAGGATCGTTGTCTATAGGAGGATCAACATCACCAGCTTCATATGCCCGAAGAATGATGGTGCATAACCATAAGGATATGGTATTGCAACTGACTTCAGCCGTGGATGTCTTGGAGACAAGACTGAAAAGTCGTTTAATAGCACCATATAGAGTCTTAGAGCGACGCATTAAAACTCTCAGTGCACACATCGGGTCCCGGGCACAGAAGGAGTTCCTCCTCATCTTCAACGCCAACAATCAAGGAGAGAGGAGGGATGGTGAAGGACCTGTCAGGCTGCCCTGGGAGTTGATTCTTGGCAATGAAGTCCCAGCACAGTCAACTGCTCCCTGAGCCATTCCCTCAAACCGGACATGGGTAATGTCGAGTGAGTGTAGCTCGCTGACCCTTGCCACTGTAACCAACACCAAGAGGAAGATAGAAGGAAGCTGCATGGAGAGGCTCGAATGGAGGTCAACGGAGAAACCAAAGTACCACGTTCAGATTCCATGCTGGTGGAAGAAACTTGGTTTTGGAACCTTTTTTTTTCATATTCTCCGGAACTGCCAACACCGAGTTAATGGCCACCAGGTAGGTCATGATGGTGCTGCCCTTAAAGTGTCGCTTACTTCTCAGATACAACAGGAATTCAGACAAGAATTGAGGGGATGCTGCAGTGGGTTCTTGATGATTTTCCTTCAAAAAGATTCAAAAGTACGCCACTTATCATCATAAAGGCCCTGGGTCGAGGGTCTATGTGCCATGGCGATCAATGGCTTTCACTGCCGTCGTCGAATCACCGTAGCCCCCAAAGCCCTTTTGTAATGCACTAAGCATGCAGGTGAAATCTGCTTGGCGTTGGGTGCATGGACTAGGAAGTTCGGCCACCCTGGTAGTTCTAGTGGATCGTTTTCTTGGTCAAAAATATGTTAAAGTTGGCCACCAGAAGTGGATGTTGCTTTCTGGGGAAGACCCATGGCGGGGGAGTTTGGGTCAGAGAAAACCTGATGACGAGGAGAGGCGATACCCGTAGTGCAAGATGTTTGTGATGTATGGGTCTACCAAGATAGTCCAATTCTGCCAGAAGGGATCTAATTTCCTACCTACAGGCGTGTCGACAACTTGGACAGCAAGGGATGGGAGGACCCAGTCGTTGTTGTCCCTTCCTTGGAACTTGCTACAGCCGGATTGATAAGAGCCTTGGGACTTCCCTCTTCCACGTCCTTTCCCTCGAAAAGAAGACTGGTCTGGAGCCTGGTAGTGAATATATCCTTTGATCTAGAGGAATGAAGGTGGGCTGTGACCATATCGTGTCATTCTTGTCAACTCCTGCACCTAGCGAAGGAACCACTGCAGCAAGTCACTTCTGACAAAAGCTCCGATGTGTGCCCCTCTCAGGTGACGTCTCATAATGAGGCACAAACAGTTCCTCTGATGAGTCGGAGTGGTAACCTTGGGAATGACAGATGAAAGAGTGGCTCCTGGAAAGTCTCTTGGATCCGGAGGACTTAGAAGTACACCTGGAGAAGGCTCCGGGTGAAGCTGAGCCATGGGAAGATGGAGCCCTACAAGATTCCGGAGGTGTAGGTACAGGAGGCACTGGCAGAACAGGAGGCACTGGAGTCATGGGAGGTGGAGCAGAAGGTGCCGGAGATGCGGAAGGAGCAAGAGGCGCTGGCTCATACTAAGGCCATCGCCAAAAAACAAGTGAAGCCGAAAAAAGGTGAAGGCAGGTGGAGCAGGAAGACCATAACCCTGTTGTGCAGCAGGCCCATTGGTGGGAGGCCCGGAGACAGGCATTGGTGGGAGGCCCGGAGACACAGGCATTGGTGGGAGGCCCAGAGACACAGGCATTGGTGGGAGGCCCGGAGACACAGGAGGAGGTGGGAGGCCCGGAGACACAGGCATTGGTGGGAGGCCCGGAGACACAGGCATTGGTGGGAGGCCCAGAGACACAGGCATTGGTGGGAGGCCCGGAGACACAGGAGGAGGTGGGAGGCCCGGAGACACAGGCATTGGTGGGAGGCCCGGAGACACAGGCATTGGTGGGAGGCCCAGAGACACAGGCATTGGTGGGAGGCCCGGAGACACAGACATTGGTGGGAGGCCCGGAGACGCAGACATTGGTGGGAGGCCCAGAGACACAGGCATTGGTGGGAGGCCCGGAGACGCAGACATTGGTGGGAGGCCCGGAGACACAGGCATTGGTGGGAGGCCCAGAGACACAGGCATTGGTGAGAGGCCCGGAGACACAGGCATTGGTGGGAGGCCCAGAGACACAGGCATTGGTGGGAGGCCCGGAGACACAGGCATTGGTGGGAGGCCCGGAGACGCAGACATTGGTGGGAGGCCCGCAGACACAGGCATTGGTGGGAGGTCCGGAGACGCAAGCATTGGTGGGAGGCCCGGACAACGCAGACATTGGTGGAAGGCCCGGAGATGCAGACATTGGTGGGAGGCCCCGAGACACAGACATTGGTGGGAGGCCCGGAGACGCAGACATTGGTGGGAGGCCCGCAGACAGGCATTGGTGGGAGGCCCGGAGACACAGGCATTGGTGGGAGGCCCGGAGACGCAGACATTGGTGGGAGGCCCGGAGACACAGGCATTGGTGGGAGGCCCGGAGACGCAGACATTGGTGGGAGGTCCGCAGACACAGGCATTGGTGGGAGGCCCGGAGACACAGGCATTGGTGGGAGGCCCGGAGACACAGGCATTGGTTGGAGGCCCAGAGACACAGGCATTGGTGGGAGGCCCGGAGACACAGGAGGAGGTGGGAGGCCCGGAGACACAGGCATTGGTGGGAGGCCCGGAGAGCAGACATTGGTGGAAGGCCCAGAGACACAGGCATTGGTGGGAGGCCCGGAGACGCAGACATTGGTGGGAGGCCCAGAGACACAGGCATTGGTGGGAGGCCCGGAGACACAGGCATTGGTGGGAGGCCCGGAGACGCAGACATTGGTGGGAGGCCCAGAGACACAGGCATTGGTGGGAGGCCCAGAGACGCAGACATTGGTGGGAGGCCCGGAGACACAGGAGGAGGTGCTGATGCTCAAAATTGGTGCTGTCAGAGGTGCCTGGGATGGCGGAGAAAGCAGCACAGTATCAGGTGCCCATCCCGATGTAGACGGCTGGGGCGTAACAACAGGGGTCTCTGGAGTCTCTTGTAGAATGGATTCCTGAGAGACTGACATCCTCCTTGTGTGTCCTAGGGTTTCCTGTGCAAGGCGCTTCCTGGATGCCTGGAGACTTTGCAAAGCTTGAGAGGGAAGAGGGGAAAACAAAAGTAACACTTCTGTCCTGTCTAACAGATACCAGTGCAATCAAGACACCATGGACACCATGTCCTAAACTGACTTTTTTCCATGGCAACGGACACAATAGGCAAGCACAAATCTGCAATTTAAGTACACAAATATAACAGATAATGATACAATTATGCTAAATAACTGTATAAAGCCAAGGACAGGCTTCAGGTAACGCAATATACATGATTACCAAGCCATAAACAAGAATAAAAAACGTGTGCTCTGATGTATGAGACCACGCAAAATATTATAAATAGTGAGAATTACAGTGACTACAAGTCACCCTCACGTGCAAAATATTAATGCTATAGGAAATATAAATGGTAGACCTTGAAAACACTACTCAGATAATAGGAGATAATCATATATATTTCATAAACAATGAAAAACCAACAGGTTACATAAATTGACTAAACAAATTTACTGAATACAACTTGTAAGTCTGGTGACAAGTAGTAATGTGAAGATACGTGACATCATCACTTCCATGGTCACATGGGCACGGTGCGATGGGGTCTTCCTCACAACTGTATGGATATTTTGTTTCTTCAGGTGAACCTCACACAGCTTTGTTTTTCTGTCAAACGAAAGCAGTAAATACACTGTTATGTTTTGTGGTCATTGCTTAACTCAATTGCTCAAATTATTGTCAGTCATTTTAACGAATTGGGAAGTGCTGTGCTAGTTACCAGTGAGATATTCTGCTGATCCATGTCCAAAAGTCACACCGACTGAACCATCCGCTGTTATCTGGAACAACAATAACACAGATACAATGACTAGGATACAATGACTAGGATACAATGACTAGGATACAATGAATCAATGCCTATAAAATCAACCAGTATTTCAGCAGCTCACGATATAAATTGAGAGGTTTTCAGAAAGACTGATGACTAAAATATCAATGCTGACTGATATACCTATATATACATATATACATACATATGTGTTTTGGGAAGGTATATATCCTGTATTAGAAATAAACATTGTATATAGAGAGCCTCTTTATCATATTAATGTGATTGTCATTTTTTAATTCTGTCGTCAAAAACCTATTATCATCCTTCACAAACATAACCCAATTAAAATTTGCAAATTTACCTGGAATGTGCACATTAATATATATTATGTGAAAAGGTAAGTGATGTGTCAGTCAGACAATGACAACAGTCAATATATTTCCATCTGCAACCTGTTTCTGAGACCGTGGCATAACAACATAAAGGCAAAATAACAATTACCATGGTTACCACACATATTGTTTCTACCCTTTCGTGGTAATTCATCGGTCCTCTTGCTTGAGTAACTGCCCTTTATGAAAGGAAAACTACTCTAACCCTAACTAATGTTTGTCTAGAGTCTGCCTGGCCTTTGATAACGTTAGAGTGCAGAGTCAGAAGTACACACATATCTCCACATCTGAGCTGCAGGCAAGGCAGACTGACACACATATCTCCACATCAAGGCAGACTGACACACATATCTCCACATCAGAGCTGCAGGCAAGGCAGACTGACACACATATCTCCACATCAAGGCAGACTGACACACATACCTCCACATCAAGGCAGACTGACACACATACCTCCACATCAAGGCAGACTGACACACATACCTCCACATCAGAGTGACACACATACCTCCACATCAGGACAGACTGACACACATATCTCCACATCAAGGCAGACTGACACACATATCTCCACATCAAGGCAGACTGACACACATATCTCCACATCAAGGCAGACTGACACACATATCTCAACATCAAGGCAGACGGACACACATATCTCCACATCAAGGCAGACTGACACACATACCTCCACATCAAGGCAGACTGACACACATACCTCCACATCAAGGCAGACTGACACACATACCTCCACATCAAGGCAGACTGACACACATATCTCAACATCAAGGCAGACCGACACACATATCTCCACATCAAGGCAGACTGACACACATACCTCCACATCAAGGCAGACTGACACACATATCTCCACATCAAGGCAGACTGACACACATATCTCCACATCAAGGCAGACTGACACACATATCTCCACATCAAGGCAGACTGACACGCATACCTCCACATCAGACTGACACACATATCTCCACATCAGACTGACACACATACCTCCACATCAAGGCAGACTGACACACATATCTCCACATCAAGGCAGACAGACACACATATCTCCACATTAAGGCAGACTGACACACATATCTCCACATCAAGGCAGACTGACACACATATCTCCACATCAAGGCAGACTGACACACATATCTCCACATCAGACTGACACACATACCTCCACATCAGGACACAGCTAAAGGCTCTGGGCATATGGGCTTATGTTTGTCGAGTCACATGGAGTACAGATGTCAAGATATTGAATTCCTACAAACATACTTACTTTATACAACAGTGCAGCATGTTTCTCAACATTTTCACGAACACCTTAGCAGTATCATGAGTATGTTTCTGAGCCCTAAGTAGAAAGTCCTGTCTGTGCAAACTGCTAACATCATGCATTGAGAATATATGCAAATCAAGAAACACATGTGCATCACCATATAAGAACTACAATTAAACTTTTGCATGGTTTCATTTACTAACTCATTAATCCACATCGAAAAATATCTTCCAGTGCTCGACAAAATGTCACCAGTTTGATATTTGAATCCCTGATGATGCTCTGCTCATTGTGAAGATCCAGCAGGGATCCTGAAATGGAGAAGAATATTTTTGATCAGCATATTCTTGAAATTATCCTAAAGGTTTTGGTGATGTTTCCATGGTTGCATACTTCATAAGAATTTAGAAGGTAGACCTTTGCTTTTACAGATAAACAGTTTAGTTTGCTACATCCTGAATATTGTGCAGCATTCACAATTCAGGGGATCCCCTGGTTCTTGAGATTTCTCTTGGATGGGGTCGGGTGGTCAGGCTCGCTGTCTTGGTTGATGCATGTCATCGTATCCCAAATGCGTTGACTGATGCTTATCAACGCCATCATATAGCTGGAATATGGACACTAATAAATACTCATTACATCAATCAGTACAGAGTAACCTATCAGTCAGTGATCATTCACTGTAACACCACAAAGTCAAGCATTATGTACAAGCAAAAAGGTCGTCCTATGCCTGGCATGATGCACCACACAACATTAACTGTGTTCTCTGCTGTCCAACTACATGTTGAAATCCCAGCTAGAGGACAAGCTATAGCTGTGACGTCATAGTGTAAAGATGTCCGCCGTTTTATTGTTTATTGTTTTATTGTTTAACACCAGATTGTGTTCCCTAGTCTTTCCATATTGTTTTGTTTGTTTGTTTATTGCGTAACGCCGTACTCAACAATATTCCAGCTATACGACATCAGAATGAATGTCTCGATGGTAGATCTTCCTCGCTTTCCTGGCATCTGTCAATACTATTTTGACTAAACACTGTCTCATAACCATAGGGACGAATATGTTTAAAGTCATTGAGCGCAATTCAGCTTTAAATCAGTGGCATAATCAGGTGATGCCATGGCGAAAGCTAGTAACCTACCAAACACAATACAGTAACAATGGTCGTCTAAAAGTCAAATCTCAACTATGACGTCACGTCACGTGATGACAACTCTGCTTATTAACTCTCGCTAGTTTCTGAATACAAAAAGGTTTTAACGTTTCTTTGGTCACAAATACTGCCTTTAAAAAATGTTCCTTCAAGATACTTGTTTTAATATGCTTCATAAATGATTTAATCTCATATCTATAGTCTCCTTTAAGTAGAACATATTTCAAAGAGCTGATATTCAAATCTAGATCACACAGTTCACTGTACATCTATCTCATAATTAATGGATAATGTTCAAAGCAGAATCATCCATGGTTGATAAAGCAATATCACAAGCATCACATTCTTTTAATGTGTAGCCCGAATGCTTGTGTCATGGTGCCCTGTTAGCCTAGTGTTGACCAGTGCTGATGCTGTCAACCACTCGCTTGCCTGGTCAACGTCCAAATATTTACACGCAGCCGTGATAAACCCTGACTATTGCCGACAGCAGCGTAAATTACAAATTAATTTAGTTACAGATAATTACAAACCTTTTAATATTTTCAGAAGAGGATGAGAGACAGACATTTTCCTCAAAACACTCGGCCTGGTTGTAGATGATTTATGCCATACAGACGAGTTGGCATAGATGTATAGTTTGTCCCTACACCAGAAAAGTTGATTGAACAACGGGCAAATATATTTCAAATATGGTATCAATACATTTAGTAAAGAGCACAGCAAAATAGATGACAATGATTTTGTTCATTACAGTTTCTGTAAAATATTCGATGACCGATCAACAGTCTGCCATTTATAATCAAAGGGGGGTAATTCTTGCACACAGGGGAAGTAATTCTATCCTTTTGCAGACCTCTAATTACGACAAGCGTCAACACTTTCCCCAGTCAACTGTGGTTCAGGGCTGGGGCTATTGCCTTTGATGATGCCTTTGTACCTAAACATCTATCACCCACGAGTCATGTGCCCATCAGGTAATATCATTTAAGTTTGTTAATTGTATTTTAGAATAAACCAGAATAAAAAAGCAATAGGAAATCATAAAACAAATCTAGGAAGGTTTTATATGAAGAAAACAAAATGTAAACATGATATGGTGGGATTGCTTTTACTATGAATTAATGTTTCATACGACAGCTTGATTAAGATGCATTTATGTGGGGAGGATATTTTAGTCCAGTAAAGACAGTGTTTCGGATTAGTGAGATGTGTGCAAGTGTTACGTACGTCTCTTGGCGTCATACGATGACCACACAGGATCGAATACAATCTTCATTTTAAAATATTACAAGAATCAATCAATCAATCAATCAATCAATCAATCAATCAATCAATCAATCAATCAATCAATCAATCAATCAATCAATCAATCAATCAATATTTATTCAAGTACTTAAGAGGCCCCAGGCCTATAGTACATGTGACAGAGATATGTTGCACACAATTTTAACAATTATTTACAGTTTTGGTTCTATATAACAGTGCGTGGAATATGTACATGGCTAAGTTTTGCATTATTAATTTATCTAGACTGTTTAACAATTGTCGGAATTTCACAATATTTGGATCGTTAAAGTAGTATACAGGAATATATTTTTTCTCACAGTGGAGTACAATGGACAAACAAGTAAAAAGTGATATTCATCTTCTATATCTTGCCTATTACACATTTTACAGAATCTTTCTGACCTTGGTTTTTTGGGTATCTCCCACTCTCGGTGCATAAATCATGGGATGAACATCGAAATCTTGCCAATGAATTGCGGTATTTCTTTATATTTACATAAAACAGATACTGTTCAGTGTATATATGAGTTTTCAACATTCTATAATATATACATTTATTCGATAATGTCAACGAAAATGACCACGATTGCAGATAAATATCTTTTAACCTCTGTAGAAAAGACTTGGTAAATACACTTTCAGATTGTACAAATTGATCATACCAAACATTTCCAAAACCACTATTGAATAACATATTTTTTAAATAAGTTACCCAGTTAGTCTTTCCGTTCGTATCGTATAACATCATCATATTGTAACATTTCTTAGGGTGAAATTCTCGATGAATTCATTTTATGAAGTGTCAGCCAGTACTTTATGACTTTCAGCTGTGAATATATAAATAGTGAGTGAGTGAGTGAGTTTGGTTTTACGCCGCTTTTAGCAATATTCCAGCAATATCAAGGCGGGGGACACCAGAAATGGGCTTCACACATTGTACCCATGTCGGGATTCGAACCCGGGTCTTCGGTGAGACGAGCGAACGCTTTAACCACTAGGCTACCCGACCGCCCCGAATATATGAATAGAGGAAATCTACCACGTTCTCCATAAACCATTGCGCTAGATGTGTTGGGTTTTACACCGAGCAATCTTTTACATGCAAATAAGTGGACCTTTTCGATATCATTAAATTGTTTTAATCCCATATTTCAGCACCGTGAAGTAATATTGGGTTAATTCTAACATCAAAGATCTTTAAGAATGACTTATAACTTATATCACCAAGGATATGTATATTCTTTAGTATACCAATTAAACCTTTTTGGCCTGAACTGATGCTTCTCTTACATGAATAGGCCAATTTAGATTGTTACTGAAATAAACACCCAAATATTTATAGTGTGTAGTCACATTCAAACTCTCACCTTTAAAGGACCATTTGTCATTTTTGGCAAGTTTGCAACCATTTTTGAATACAATAATTTTGGTTTTGACCCTATTAACAGTGAGTTTCCATGTATCACAGTCATTTTCTAAGACATCAATTGGCTTTTGCAAGTCACCAGCTGTGCTTGAGCACATGATAATATCATCTGCAAATAGAGTTGAACGACATCTGGATGTAATTGAATGCCGTTTGCACAATTGTTATGGATTTCCGATACTAATTCATTTATGAAAAAGGAAAATAAAAACGGACTCAATATACATCCTTGGCGGACGCCAAATATGCATCAAACATATCAGACATCAAACCCTTGTTCCGTACACACGTTTTAACATTTTCATACATACTAAATAATAACTTCAACATTTTGGAACCGAGTCCACGTGAGGTAAACCATCTCCATAGTTTACACCTGTGTATAGAATCAAATGCTTTAAAGAAGTCAACAAATAATCCGTAAAACTTCCCCCCTTTTTTTGCTGATATAGCGCTGTATCAGAGATTGCAATATATAGACATTATCAACTGTTGACTATCCTTTCCTAAATCCAGCCTGCGATTCCGAAATTTTATCCATGGTATTGGCCCAACACACAAGTCTCTTGTTAATGATACAAGTAAATATTTTACTGAAGATACACAAGAGAGTTCTCCCTCTGTAGTTGTTGACATCATAAGAAGCACCTGCTTTATGAAGCGGAATTAAAATACCAATAGACCATGTTTCCGGGAAGTATCCCTCTTCAAACATCACATTAAATGACAATTCTAGGTATGGGACAAGTAGATCAGCCGAATGTATAAATGATTCAGAAATGGTGTCATCTATTCCGGGAGATTTGTTGCATTTTAAATGATGGATGCTGTTTAATGTTTCCTCTTTTTGTATAGGCATATTGAGAATATCCTCTGTAATATCTTTAGTGACATCATCATTGGCACAGTCATCTTGTAAGATTCTCGGAAAGTCGTCCGGAACAGTTGATGTTTGCTCTCCAGCAAACAAATCTCTAATATGTGCAAAAAAGTCCGCAATCTTAATATTATTTTGAACATAATTCTTACAATTCAAACTTTTTATCACAGACCAGAAATTCTTTGAGTTCTTAATATTATTCTCCATATATTGCTTTTTGTGTTCAAAATATTCATTCCGTTTTTGCCTGCATACAGCATTATATTTGTTTCTTGTGTAGTTCTAATCCTTGTGACTATCCTTATATTTTCTAAACCTATTCAATACTCCACATCTTTTACGTTTCAACAGTTCATATTCAGTATCAAACCATTCATTATTGTATTTACTTCTTCCAGCTGGCTTCTCCATATCATTTGCCGCGACACATAATGCATTTGTAATACAATCTATACTTCTATCAATGTCATTAAAAATCATATCCACAGATTTATCAAGTAATTCTTGTATATGGTCGGACAGCATATTTTCCCTAAATAATTCTAACTTTTTAGAGTCCCATTTAAATCTAAATGAATTGTGATTGATACCAGTGTTATTTACATTTTTGCAGGCTTCACTAGCTTTTAGCTTCAGGGTGAGATGAGTGAGTGAGTGAGTTGGGTTTAACGCCGCTTTTAACAGTATTCCAGTTATATCGCGGCGTGTCAGCTTAATGTGGGAGGAAAGGCCAAAGTGATGCAGGTCTCAGACGTTTACCACTTCGGTGAAACCCAGGAGCACGGGTATGGTGCTGACAAACCTAGAAACATAATCGGGGCGAACCGGGGTTTCGAACCCACAATCATAGGTTTCTGGCGTGCCCAAGGGACGCAACTGTGCACAGCGAATCGCGGCGCCTTAGAAGACTGGGCCACCCGTGCCCCCGAGCGGGAGATGATGTGACTCTGCACGTGATTGGATAGAAAAGTCATTGGCAAGCTCAAACACTGCCCCAGATGCAATTATATAATCTATTACACTTGCCCCATGTTGCCCAATGAATGTATAATCCCCAATTTCACGGTCAGTTCCTGATCTTCCGTTCATGACATGACTGTTGCGCAACGACACAACTCTAACAAACATTTACCAAAGTTGTTTACATTCTTATCACTTGAGAAAAGATTTAAACAAAAATAATCGCACATAAAATGCCAGCTTGTGTGTCCTTGCCCCAGCGCTTCGATATATCCAATAATGTCATCTTCTACAAAATACGACTTCGTTCCTGTTCTGGCATTATACAAGAATCATTTCCGTCTATCAACGACGTTGGCAGATCAATTGAAAAAAAACAACACTTTAATAAATGTTGATAACATTCGCAATCACCAATCTTTCTAATTCAAACTACACTGCGTGTGCGATGCCTGTGACTTGGTATACACTGAGTGTGCGATGTCTCTGACTGGGTATACACTGTGTGTGCGATGTCTCTGACTGGGTATACACTGAGTGTGCGATGTCTCTGACTGGGTATACACTGAGTGTGCGATGTCTCTGACTGGGTATACACTGAGTGTGCGATGTCTTTGAGTGGGTATACACTGTGTGTGCCATGTCTTTGAGTGGGTATACACTGTGTGTGCCATGTCTCTGACTGGGTATACACTGAGTGTGCCATGTCTCTGACTGGGTATACACTGTGTGTGCCATGTCTCTGACTGGGTATACACTGAGTGTGCGATGTCTCTGACTGGGTATACGCTGTGTGTGCGATGTCTCTGACTGGGTATACACTGAGTGTGCGATGTCTCTGACTGGGTATACACTGTGTGTGCGATGTCTCTGACTGGGTATACACTGAGTGTGCGATGTCTCTGACTGGGTTTCCACTGTGTGTGCCATGTCTTTGAGTGGGTATACACTGTGCGATGTCTCGGACTGGGTATACACTGAGTGTGCCATGTCTCTGACTGGGTATACACTGTGTGTGCGATGTCTCTGACTGGGTTTCCACTGTGTGTGCCATGTCTTTGAGTGGGTATACACTGTGTGTGCCATGTCTTTGAGTGGGTATACACTGTGTGTGCGATATCTCTGACTGGGTATACACTGTGTGTGCGATGTCTCTGACTGGGTTTCCACTGTGTGTGCCATGTCTTTGAGTGGGTATACACTGTGTGTGCCATGTCTTTGAGTGGGTATACACTGTGTGTGCCATGTC